ACGGATACCAAGTTTAAAGGGCACTTACTAAATGCTAACCATTTTTGCCTCAGCTGCAGGTGCACTCTGAAGTCTGTCTGGAATCCAGTACCAGAAACAGAGAGCTCAGATCCAGGTACTCCTTTAAGATGGTCGTACTCCCAGCGACAATGCCAGATGCCTGTTAAAAATCAATCAATATCAAATGAGCGTTTTTGAAGAGTGCAAAGACAAGGTTGGGGTTATTTAAATCTTTGACAAGTGAAGCGTTTTGTCCTCAGCATGTCAGGGAAGCAAAACTAAACACGCGTTACTGTGAGACTAGCCAGCTATAACATCACATCTACAGATAAGAAAGATCAGTACAAGTGAAAGCGGACTAAGTACACTGGGGGTAAATAGTTCGGGTTACTACATCTGGGGCTAAGTATCAGCACAGCTGGATTCTTATGAAATTTCGCTGCCATTTAGGCCCTTCTCATTTAATTGCGTCTAAAACTAGGCACTAGCTCTCCCAACTACAGCATTTAACTGATGTAATCACTTGCTTTCCTTGCCCAAAATTAAGCAATAAGGAAAAACAGCCTCAGAGCCTGGAGGATTACACCTACCATAACCTGTAATTCCAGTCACGCCAAAGATGAAAATCCAGAAGAGAATCCCAGCTGTGAACCTCAATAACACAAGGAAGAGCAGACTCACAATCATCGCAACGAACAGCCCACTAGAAAGACAAGAAACAGAAACCCAGGGAGAACAAGTATGAGCATCTTTCTTGCACGCCTCTTACTCCAAATGAGGGTCCCTTCGTCTCGTGTAGGAGAACGGTTTGCAAAAATGTATTTCAAAATCTTCCTTATGAAATATTTCCTCATGGCTCTCTGCTGTTAGAAACAGACAGATTATATATGATGATCTGGACACAGCCAGAATTGTCTGCGTACACCGAGTTCTCAGGGCGTCTGAATGGGACCAGCACACGTCTGGTTTGGTCATTTACACTGGCTGACCAACTCACTGCCTTTTCCAGGCCATGGCCTAGTCTACAGCACACAAAGTTAAATGGGAGACATACCTGTGTGTGGGGAGGTTACTGGTTTATGTCCTCCATTTAAAATCCCTGCTTGCACAGAAACAAGATTAGGAAAGTAACATTTGAGGAGCTTTCCTAGAAAAAAAAGAATTCATTTTAGGAGGAAAACCACTGATCCTTTCTACCCATCGGAGAAGAAAATGATCAGGGCATAGTGATGCATAAAAAGAACCTGTTCAGAGCCAGCAGTGGGACCCCTAGGATGGACATCTCCAGTGTCTTTATCAAGTCTGTGCTAAGGAAACATTTGCTTTCATTTCACTCCCAGAAAAAAAGTCAGAAAGGAAAGAATGACTGCAAAAGGCCTTTACTCAGCGGGTTTCTTCTAAAGCAATGCAAATAAAGCAGTGGGAACAATGGTTCCATCCAACAAAGATCCAGCTCAGACGCTTCACAGAACATTTCATTTCTCTACAACTCTGAGGTGTTACATCAGAATTTTGTGTTAGAACAGCCACAAAAGAAATGAAACCCTTTTCTTCCCTGTGGTCAGGAACTTCTCTTCTGAATGTTCCCAGTTTATTTAGCCAGTGACTAAAGATAACAAACGGGTCAGCCTGACCACAGACAATCAAAACCGGATGTTTTGGGCAAACTAAGCCAGACGGGCAGAGGGACAAGAAAAAGAACATCAGTTTATTTAGTTAAGCCTTTGTAAACTGGTCTTAAGTCCTAGCCCCTTAGAGGCTTCCCAGCATGATGCGTGTTCCCTTTCTGAATGGCTTGTTTGAAATTCAGAATGTATTCCTCAAAAAAGCACTGTCATTTTGGAGTTCCTGACTCTCTTCTTCAAGGCAGTAAGATACCTTTATCTACGGTTAGCTTCAGATTTGCTCTAGTAACACCAAAACTGAATGAATACATGGTAACAACTGTCATTAATAGAGTGCTTCCCTTAAACTGAGCCTTGAAAGCAGCAGTTCTTTGGGAGTAGGATAAAAAGAACAGAGCAATTCCATATTAGATTTTTAATCCCACCTCCTTCCACCACCAGGCCTTCACTCTCATCACCCAAACTCTGGCACTTTAATATGTTTGCCCAGAAATCACTGGATGCATGCTGTCATTTGGTGAAAAGTGTGAGGAAAATTCTACCCAACTACTTTAAAAGTAACAACAATCCCTTATAAAAGTATCCTATTTGAAATGGGGAAACTGGCTTCAGTATGGAGAAAGTCTGTTCAGAAAATGCTCAAGTCTCTCTCCAGCCCATCTGTTGAGCAGCATCTCCTTTGAGAGAATCTTCACCATAAGTCTGATTTCAATAACAGATCTAGAGAGAATGGCCATTTAGGCATATACACTCACAGATCTGCTGCAGCAAAATAGCTACTTCTTTTGTTTTGGTGCTGCATTTTTACTAATTGCTCATTATTGAGTAAGAATTGCAAGATAAAGCTAACTCTGTTCAGTAGTTTTTGTTCTTTAATTTGCTTTGCCTGCTGCACTGGATTTGTGTATTACAATGAATTTAACTACATGTTGCTAGTATCAATTTGGAAATTGGGATGTGTTTTATATAGATACTCACGACATTTAGCAACTGCAATTGGTTTGAAAGTCTCGTAATCAAGAATTTTTAGGTTTGGAATTACCATGCAGATGGGTCCTGCAACAGAAGACGGCAGCACCTCTTGAGTTTCTGCCTGGTAGGATATTCAAGAGCTACTCCAGACCATACCGTATGCATGTATGCTGTGCTATCCTTACCTCACATACAGAACCATAACAACATTATGGCAAAGCTTAAAAGTAGGTTTGGTACCAAACACGTACGTGATCAATTCTTCAATTCCCTACACATTCCATAGTGAGTTTGGAAAAACATAAAATTACCCATTAGAATCTTACATTAAAATCCAGTACCAAGAAATAGCATAGTCTTCAAAATTTTTACTCCAATTGATCTTGCATCCAGGATATTACTGATGCTGCTGACAAAAGACAAGACTGCTAATAGCAGAGAAGCAGAAAACAGCTCAGTGAAGCAAAAGGAGGACTTCTTGGAGTTGTTTTCCTATCCTGCAAAGTGCTTGCCCATATTAGCGTTTCCTAAGAAGAAATGAAGAATCATCTTGTCAAAGAACAAACAATGTAGTTGTAGATGCCAGAAGAAGGAAACTTCCTAAGCTGCGGGTGCTAGCACTGCTGGGAAGGTGCTAGAATGCGGCAGCCTCAGATCCAGAGGTAAGAAAAGGTACCCCTGTGCTCCGGACAGGCTGAGGATGGAGAGTAGCTGGTTGCTACCCAGCATTGGAGATGCTTGCTGTCCATCTGAAAGGGAGGTGCTGTCTGGCATCAGAGCCCAGGACATTGCCTTCTGACCTTCAGACGTGTGCTAAAAACAGGAGCATGCTGATGAGGTGAGATGCAAAAGTACTAGGACATTCCACAGCACTAGGAAGGCTGCTGTAGGAAGGAAGAGCTGAGGCCATCACTGGCTGGCCTGAGTCCTGCTGCATGAAGACTTCAATTTGAACCTCCTTTAACTTTCCTTGCTATTAATTTTGGCTAGGAAAACCAAGTGGAATGTTTTCAAAACTGACAGTCATTCTGAGGAACACTAAAGCTTTTGGCTCCTTGCTCATTTCTGCATACCACAGTGCTGGTTTTCCCTACTGGAACTTTGCAAGTGCTCAGGCACAGAAACCATCTACCAGGAAGTCTCGTCTGGGTACCCTCAGCCATTTGATACAACAGATTCTGATCTTGGTTTTTCAATTCCTAAATTATTTCACAGCCTCAGAATCCAACACACAAGCACTTAAGAAGGGTAAAACCTACTTTGCAGCTCTACTGAGGTCAGTTACGTTTCTTGTTTTCCCTCTTCCATCTTTGAAGGTAGTCTGATTTGCCACAGCTAGCACACCACTCCTCATGGAGAAGTCCAGGAAGCGTCTCTTCAGAACTATTCAAAATACCAAAAGAAAGCAGAAACGGAAAGCAATGGAAAAAGGAAGCAATGGAAAAAAAGACAGAAACTATGGGTAAGACAGAGAGAGGAGTTTATAAAAGAAAGAGACAAGGACAGACGTTCACACACTCATTTATGTTGCCCTGCTCTTTGCTGCACCAAATCCTTGGTTTCATTCCAAAGGGAAGAGTAGGTCAGTCCTCCTACACGGCTGTACATCACCTTTATCTACTGGTTCTGCACTTTCCTTATCAGGTTCCAATAAGCACTGATGCCTGGGCTTAATATTCAGTCTGCAATATCTACTCCCCCACTTATTCTCAGGAAACAATTAACTAACCTGTGTTAATTAACAATTAAATATCCTTCTGTGATCTTCCCCTCTGGCTGTAGGCAAAAAGAAGGTAAGAACTTCTTTGCAAATGATTTTCTGTCTTTTGGGTCAGTACATCATTTTTCATACAGATTTTTAATTCTTTAGCGCTTCATCCATTATTTTCTCTTTTTGACAGCCTGGGCCTGCTTTACACAATCTCTATTTTAAAGCATGGAAAAAAATAACAGCACTTCCTTATTTGCATGAGCTTCTAGGTCAGTGACAGATACTCTTGAGCTCGGAGACCTCTGCCTGTCTACTCAAAAGCACCTGCTGACCACAGTGACAAAACCAGCTTTTTGTCCCCTTAATTCCTCTGCTGCTCTCCATAGGCAGCACTATGTGCAGCACTGAAAAGCAAGCTGCCCAGTTAACTGGGCTCAAGTACCACCTGAACTTCAACAGCTGCCCAGAGGAGCTTTCCTGCAGTCGTGGCATTTCCTTCGTGCCAACAGGTTGGCTTGGGTTCGGTTGAGCTCAGCTTGACCCAATCACACTCCAAGTGTCCATGGATGGCTCCCTAGAAAAAATGATGATAAAGCTTCATACTTTCAAACTGTTTAAAACTGAATGGAGGCCACTGCCAGGTAAGAGCCAGCTCCTCGTGGTCTTGCCACAGAACACTTTTCAGACTGGAGTTGTGATTTCATGTGAACGCTTACAGTCTGCTAAGATGTGTGTAAGAAATAGAACCACTCACAAGGCCTGCTTGGAATGATCATCAAAGGACAATCTTCATCACGTAGGGCTTGAGCAACAGACTGAAAAGGGGAAAACCGGGAATGCTGAATACATAGCAGAATTAACTACGTGGGTTTTGTTTCCCACCCACTCTGAGAAAATGCCCCAAACTGGACTCTCTAGCCTCCTCCCCAAACTTGACTGCTGGAGCTGCAAGACACATTCATGATGTGAGAATCCAGCCTCTCAATGGGATTTGGGAAAAGACTATTCTTTACTTTTCTAGTGACAAAAAGGAAAAGACCTCTTCCCTTTGGATCGGCAGGTAAAGCAGCAATGACTGGGCAATCGCTCCTTGCCTCCCCCTTACTTTTCTCCTAAAGAGGAGTAAGAATTTAACACAACTAACACAGCTTTAGCGCAAGGTGGTTTAGAGATGGGAGAAATCACACAGTACATTTGAGTCCAAAATCAGTTTCAGGAAAGACAGACTTCTTTGCCTAGCTAAACTACTGAGGAGCTCTACATAACAGGAGCCTTAAGAACTGGTTTGAGACACTCTGCTCCACTGCTGCGGGGTACTTAAGTACTAAAGGATACTTCTCACAGTACTGCAACCACATGGGTAGCTGCAGATACTCTTTAAGGAAACAGTAATCACTGAAAGAGTTAGGGATGTGATGTGCATACAAGACCTTCATCCCTGACCAAATCACTGCCAAAGCGTATGTATGGGACAACTCCTTATACGGTGAAATCAGAATAATTCAAAGCTTTGCTGTAGCTCAGTAAAACCACGCTTATTACACATTGCTTGAAGAAACAAAATGGATTCCATCTCCTCCTGATACACACAGACCTTGTGAGGACTCTTAAAACCAGGTCTGCAGAACTGCTTCAAGTAATTCCACTGATCGGGTTTGTATCTGTAGGAAGCCTGGATATCAATGTAGGTCACAAACCTGCCTGGGCACTGTGAGACCCAAGCTGTAAGAAAAGAAGACACACTGGGGGTAGAGAAGGGTAAGGAAAGTCAGTGCAATCAGAAAGCAAGAAAAAAGGCCACCTGCCAAACTGCCCTGTTCTATGGAACTGCCTTCAGTAATGCTTACTGCAGCATTTGGAAAGGGACACAATGCATTTGCGAGTGCATTTTGAAGGGTATGAATTTTAAAATCAAACAAATGTACGTCTAGTTCTTAAGCACCATGACTAAGAGGCATCTTTCCCGCCTGAGCCGCTATTTCCATGCAGAAGTGCTCTGTTGAGATCAATGAATTCATTTAACTCTCACAATTCAGGATTTAAAACCACTGGGAAACAGAGATAAGCAAAGCAAGCCGCTCGGCAGGTATCCCAGGAAGGTGTGCTTACAGCTGCCTGCTCCCAGACCTCTCAGTCTCCTCTCTACTGGCACTGCCTAAACACCAGAAATAAAACCCCCAAGAGCTTCTCCTTCGGGTCTTTTCTGTTACTTGGTGCATGTTGAGAACAACTAAGAACCAGGCAGCAATGCTTTAGGACTACTCTTGCTCCAAGGTGGATGAAAGAATTAATGATCCAAACTTGGGTACTTAGAAGCTGTGCCATCAGTGATGCCATCTGTAAGCTGCGCTGATCCTTTACCAAAAAGATTCTCTGAATGATGAAAACAACTGCATTTACTGTGAGAGTGGGGAGGCCCTGGAACAGGTTGCCCAGAGAGGCTGTGGATGCTCCATCCCTGGCAGTGTTTAAGGCCAGGCTGGACGGAGTCTTGGATGACACAGTCTAGCGTGTGGTGTCCCAGCCTGCGGCAGGGGAATTGGAAGTGGATGATCTTAAGGTCCTTTCCAACCCAAACCCCAAACCGTTCTATGATTCTGTGAAAAGAAAATGGCAGGCTCCCTACGGGGAAAAATCACGCATGAGAGAGAAACACTGTTGGGTTTGCATATTCGGGATGAGGCTTTGCAATATTAAGGTTTTGTAATACTAAGACTTTGCAATATTGAGGCTGGGGCTAAGTTACTCAGGGAACGAAACATAGGGTTTGCAATACCGTGACTTAAACAGGCACACTCTGTGCTTAAAGACAACGGCATCTTTGGGCAACAGACATGCTCTGTGCTGCAAAGGAACGCTATCTTTGTACAACCTATGAAGCTAAGCCAGTGCAAACCGCTGCTGTAGTTAAGCAGTAAGTTGGGGTACCATGTGCCTGCCAGAGAGTTATGAAATCAAACCCTAAAAGGAGAGAAAGAAAGAAGTAAGAGGAAGGGGTGTACGAAACTGAGTAAGGGGAGGTGTAACCAGAGGCGGGACAGTTAGCACGTAGATTATACACGTCGGAGAGGCTGTAAACCTTGGAGTCCCCAACCAATGGGGTAACAAGGGAGGGAACTTGAGGATGGGAAAGAAAATACAAATCAAAGTTCTGCCTTTGCTGTGTGTGCCTGCTTGCCAGGACACCCGTTTGTGCACAAACGGTAAATAAATAGCTGCTTCACTGCTGTGTCTGACCGAGGCCTGCCTGAACCTAGAGACTGCTTCTCACCCTTCAACTTCTCAGACACCAAAACCCACGACACATTCCCTCAGCAGGAGGCTCACCTGAGACTCCAACTTCTCGCCGCCTTCCTTTTTCTGGGACGCTGCTCTGGGAGGAGCACTTTCTCGCCTGCCCTGCTGGAGGCTGCTGCTTCTCTTCTCCCTGCTCTTCACTGGCATCTTCCGCACTGCTTCTCTGGGCTTGTTTCTTCCCCTTTCTCTTCTTTACCCGTCTCTGCCAGACATTCTCCTTCTCCTTCCTACTCACCACAGGCAAGCACAGGGGGAAAACAAAGCAGCTGTGTATTTTTTTAACTACAGAAATCCCATGCAAACGTTTCACAGAAGAGATAATCCCTTGCAAAAAAAACGTGTTTACACAAACCAGCACTCACAGCGACTGCAGCCGTTGGCGAGGGCCTGTGCTTGAGCTACGGCAGTAACTAAGAGTCACCTCAGTGCAGGACGCGACTGCGTGACGAAGCACGGAGCCTCCGGAACACCTGCACAGACAACACATGGCCAGGAGCCTGTCCACAGAGCACCAGGACAAGCTGGGAACCAGAGACTTCCCCAGAAACAAGTCCTGGAACATTTCTAGTTCATCCTCAAATAACCTCCTGTGACACCACACTCATTTTCAGCCGCACGCAGGGACCAGGAAGGTCATACATATTTTGTACTGCAGGGTGCTGTACGCGTAGCCTGTGTACCGGGCCATCCACAGCTATCTCATACATTAAAAGCGCTAGGATTGAAAGGGCATTTGTAGAGCTTTAATGAGAGAAACTCCGTTTAGTTTTTAGATGGCATAAAATGACATGAACAAGCCCTAGATCAACTGCTCCCACATCTAAAGCCTTCAGCTCGATGACCAGGGGAAATCAGCAGCAGGGCAAGTAAAGGTTCTGGCCCTTCTCAACACACTGAGACTTGAAATGGAAATGGTACAATGGGCTGCTGAAAACCACACTGAGAGCAATGGGTGGTGGGACTTTCAAACACTGGGATACACTTAGCAAAGGCCACCTGCTTGCTCAACACCAGAGGATCTGCCAACAGGGCTGACCCAGCCCAATTACAGATTTTACATACCATAGAGGGGGATGAAGTTCCTGGGGTGCACATAAAGGATGTGCTGGGGCAACCAGTCTGGGTTATTGCCGATTCAGGCAAAAGAAAACCCGCTCGTGGGATTGCTTTTGCTCAAAGAGCTGGGGGCTTTTGGTGGGTATTGCGGGAGGGTGGGGAAGTCCGGCGTGTACCTGAAGGAGATCTGATTTGGGGTGAAAAGAGCCAGTGAATTGAACTTTATGATGCTGTGTAATACTGAATTCCGTGATCGCTTCCATGGCGGCTGAACACCCATCACTGCGCGGGACACCTCGTGGCCCCTGTCCCCACCGCTGTGGGTCTGAGGATCTGAACCTGACTCCCTTGATCACCATTAATGAAGAATGGACTTTGATCAAACCGGACAAGTGTCGCAGTGACGGAATCGGAACTGACTTCAGCATCCAACAACCCAACACCCCACACCATCCATCTTTCCTGCCTGGAGACACTGCTATGGCAGATGGAGCCCCAAGTCATGACAGTGGGAAGTGTGAGGCCTGGCATGACATAAATGGTATGGACTAAGGGGTGGATACTGTCCTGGTTGTGGCTGGGACAGTGCTCGTTTGCTTTCTAGCACCTGGTGCTCTGCTGCCTTTTGGCTTTATTCCGAGAGCAGTGCTGACAACACACTGACGTTTTAGTTGTACATAAACCGGGGGGAGCTATCTGGAAGGGAAGGATCACTGCTCGGGTCGGGCTGGGTATCACTCAGCAGGTGCTGAGCAATTGTATTGGGCATCACTTGTGTTTATTGGCTTGGGCTTTTTTTTTTCTTTTCCTTTTTTTTTTTCTCTCTTCTTGTTATGTCCCTTATCATTATTATCACTATTACCAGCACTAGTACATTGTGCTTCGGTTATTAAACTGTTCTTATCTCCACCCTCGGGTTTTTCATCCTTCCCTTCCTGCTCCCCATCCCGCTCCAGGAGCCAAAACCCGGCTCAGAGTCAACGACACCTCGGGCCCGCCCCCCCCCCGGGTGCCGGGGATCGGCTGCCCCAGCAGCACCTCCCCCCCGGGGGGAAACAGCCCCCAGGGCCCCCCACAACAGCCCCGCTCCATCCCCAGGGCCGGAAAGGTGCGGGACCCCCACAGCTCCCAGCCCCCCATGCCCCGGCTTCGCAGCACCCCACACTCCCAGCCATCTCGCAGCCCCACTGCCCAGCGCTCGCACCCGCCCCCCGCATTCCCCCGCAGCGCCCGGCCCCACTGCCCAGAGCCTCGGGGGGCCGCAGACCCCCAGCCCCGCTCCCCGGGCTCTGCAGCGCCCCCCAGACCCGCGCCGCGCCCGCTCACCCTCACCTCCTCCCGCTCTGCCGCCGCCATTGCCGGCTGCAGCTCCGCCTCACGCCCTGGGCCCGCCTCCGACGCAGCCAATCAGCGCACGGCTCCCCCGCGCGGGGCACGCTGGGACCTGTAGTCCGGCCTCCGGCACATGCGCACGGGGCAGTGGGCGGGGGGCAGCGGGACCCCCGTGAGGGGCGGGGCCTTTCCTCATGGAGGAGCCGCCCCCCATGGGATCCCAGAGGCACCGGATGGGCTGGGGTGAAGGGACCTTAAAGCTCCTCCAGCTCCAAGCCCTGCCACGGGCAGGGACACCTTCCACATGGAAGGAGCAGCTTGCTCCAAGCCCCTGTGTCCAACCCGGCCTCCAACGCTGCCAGGGATGGGGCAGCCACGGCTCCTCTGGGCACCCTGCGCCAGCGCCTCAGCACCCTCACAGGGAAGAGCTTCCTGAGAGCTCGTGAAATACGAACTCACTCCTCTAAACGAGGTAACGAGGGTTTAGTGAGGGACAAAGGCAAGAAAGCAAAAGCAACAGCGTGACCGCAGCCAGAGGCGCAAGGGATTAGCATTTGGTACAGGTTTATATACTTTCAGTGTTACATGCATATTCATAATTCCCGCATATAGGCGGGGGATATTATAACGAGCTTCCAGAATTTATCATCACAAGTCTCCTCCTCTTGGCGTCTGCGCACTGCTCTGTGGTGATTGTGAGCAGGGGGCTTGAGGATGAAGTAAACAGTCTTCCTCTTGTGAGCAGGGCTCTTCAAGATGCAGTAAGCAGTCTTCCTCACGGTGTACTTTTCACCTCTGGCACAGCTGGACCCCCCAGCAACCACACAACCAGCTATATCTGTAATTATTCTGATAACTAGCAAGGATTTAAAACAGCGTGACCTTCCTGCAAAATTTGTTGCAGGATGGGCAGACAAGGAGTATCCCAAGCTAGCAGAGCCTTGGGAGGCTCTGTCTCCAAACTAACTGATAACGATGGTGTGAAATAACTCATTCATGTTTAGTGGGGCCACTAAAGCCTGTTACCTCACCACAGACTTACAACACAAACATCGCTCTTTAAAGCTCCTTTAGAAGACTAGCCTGAAACAACTCATGTTTAAGTGGGGCCACTACATCCCACCGACTTACAACATAAACATTGTTCTCTTTCTACAGCCTAAGTTAAGCTAAACAGTACTTTAACCCTATGTTTTCCAGGCACTAGCTTTCCTTATACCAAGCTTCACCCCCCACCTTCTCTTACCTTTACAAATTCTTTTGCTATGTGACTCCATTTAGATCAAGAGATCTGAACCTTTTTAACTTGCTGTCTGGTCTTGTATCTTTAGCGTGTTTTGTTTCTGTTACTGTAAACTCGTACAGTTATATCCTGCACGTGAGCACGCCTATGATTTGAGAAAGCCAATACATTTATGTGTTTATCACAATCTCCTCTCAATCCACCTCTGTGGAAAGGAAAGAGGGGATAAAATAAGCAGTAAATTGCAGCCTCCTTGTGACTTCCCAAAGCCTCCGGTTTCAGTTCTAAAGCCTCGTTCGCAGGGTCCCGAGGCTGAGGTTCGGTTTCCAAAGGCTCGGCCGCGGGGATGCTGCTGCCGGGCGGGGGGCGCACGAGCCCGGCCGCGGGGCTGGGCAGGGCCCGCTCCGCCGTTCCCCGGGCTCCCGCGGCCGCGAGACCCCCCCCGCCGGCCGCTCCGCCCGGTGGCAGCGGGCGCCCGGGGCGCGCGTGGACAGAGCCGTTGACAGCGAGGCTGCGGCGGCGGCGGCAGCAGCGGCTTTTGAGCGGCTTCTGAGCGGCTTTTGAGCGGCAGCGACTTCGGCAGCGGCTTCTGAGCGGCAGCGGCTTCTGCAGGAGCAGCGGCAGCAGCACCAGGTGAGGCGGCGGCGGCGGCAGCTCTCGGCGGTCCGGAGCCCGCCCTCCGCCGCTCCCCGCGATGGTGCCTCCCCCGTCCCCCCAGCGTCCCCCAGCGTCCCCCCGCAGGGGCTCGCGGCACCGCTCCCCTCTCCCGCTTCTGGCAGTGGCTGCGCTGGGCGAGCCGCCCCTGGGTCTGGGTCTGGCGAGGCAGCGCCGCCCCCTGGCGCTCCCCGGCCCGCCCCCAGGCCCGGCCCCGCCTGGGGCCGGCCGGGGGCCGCCACCACCCACAGGTGCCCGGCGGAGCGCGGACCGGCGGCGGAGCGCGGACCGGCGGCGGGGACCCCGCGCGCAGCGACAGCGGCCGCGTCTGTCGCACGGGGCACGACAAGGAGAGCTTCGAGCGGCTTTACCGCGTGGGACCGCTGCTGGGGAGAGGCGGCTTCGCGTCCGTGTACTCGGGGCTCCGCCTGTGTGACAACAGCCCGGTAAGGGCGGGGCCGGCGGCGGGCCGGGGAGGCGGCGGGGCTCGGCTCAGCTCAGCTCAGCCCAGCGCTGCCCTTGGCTCGCAGGTGGCGATCAAACGAGTGGCTCGGGAGCGCATCTCCTCGTGGGGCGAGCGGGTGAGTGCGCGGGGCCACCGGGACAGTGCGGGGCAGAGCGGGTGGGGGTGAGCCGGTGGGGCCGGCGGGGGGGAAAGTGGGACGGCGTGAGGGGAGTGGGTGTGGAGTCAGCAGGGGACACGGGCCGGGTAGGGGTGCACCAGAGCATCCCTGGGGATTGCGGGGGGCACCTGGGAGCAGTGGGGCCGGGCAGGAGGGCATCAGAGCATCCCAGGCAGGGAGGCCCAGGAGCCCCGGGCCAGCATCGGCCCTGCTGACGGTGCCGCGGTCCCCCTGCAGCCCAGCGGCACTCGCATTCCCATGGAGATAGCCATGTTGAGGAAGGTGCGCTCCGGCTGCAGTGCCATCATCCAGCTCCTCAGTTGGTTTGAGCTGCCCCACTCCTTTGTGCTGGTTCTGGAGCGTCCGGAGCCATCGCAGGACCTCTCCGACTTCATCAAAAAGCAGAGGTTCCTGCCCGAGGATCTGGCGCGGGGCATTTTCCTCCAGGTGCTGGTGGCTGTGCGGCACTGCCACAGCTGCGGTGTCCTGCACAGGGATATCAAGCCCAAGAACATCATCATCAACTTGGCCACCAGAGAGGTCAAGCTTATTGACTTTGGTTGCAGCACCCTCCTCAGGGACACGGTCTACACCACATTTAGCGGTGAGCCCACAGCCCAGGGTGCTTCCTGTACCGGGCAGTTTGTGAACAAGAGTCACGTGCTGATGAAGAGGTGGCGGGTCACACCGAGTGCGCGTCCCCACGTCCGTGGGGCCACCGGTGCGGCCCCTGCATCCCTGGGGATCCGCGGGCGAGAATCCAGGAGCAGGCGGCATCTGCCTAATGAGGTGCGCCCGTATCCTGTTGTAGGAACACCTTTGTACTACCCGCCGGAGTGGTTCCGCTGGCACTGGTACCACGGCCGTCCGGCGGCGATCTGGTCCCTGGGCGTGCTGCTGTATGAGATGGTGTGCGGGGTCCTCCCCTTCCGGTGCTGCGAGGACATCGTCAGCGGGCAGCTCTTCTTCCAGCGCCGGATCTCTGTCGGTAGGTACCTGGCTTCGCAGCAGCAGGGGAAGGTCGGGGTTTAGGGGGTGGCAGCTGATCGCCCTTGGTCAGCTGGAGGAGGTGGCCCATGTCCTGCCGTCCTGCTCTCCTCCAAACCGAGTCATGGAGCAGGAGGTCTGGGTGCAGCTCTGAGCGCACCCAGGCCCGGGCGCTGCGGACGGTGGCACAAGGTAGGCAGGAGCCTCCCGCAACTGAGCGGCAGTTCCGGGATTCTCCCCAGAATGCCAGCACCTCATCAGGTGGTGCTTGTCCATGAGAGCTCGCGACAGGCCATCCCTGGACGATGTGTTCAACCACCCTTGGCTGCAAACATCCACTGCCCCAGGAGACAGCTGCTCTCCACCCTCACAGCCTGAGCCAGCAGCTGGGCAAGTAAGCTGGGGGTTGTGGGGTTTGGGGGTTTTGGGGTTGTGGGGTTTGGGGGTTTTGGCCCCCTCCTCTTGGGGGGAGTGTGGGGTTTGGGGGTTTTGGCAGGTTGGGTATTTTGGTGGGGATTTGGGCTCTTGGGAGGTTGGGATGGATTTTGGGGGCCTGTGGGGATTTTTTGGAGACTTTGAGGTTTTGGGGGTTGTTTTTTGGGGGGACTTTGTGGGTTTTGCGGAGAGCGGGGGGTTTTGGGGGTTTGGGAGTTTGGGGAGTTTGTTGAGGTTGGGTGTTTTGGGGGGACTTTTGCAGTTATTGGGGGGCTTGTGGGGATTGGTTTCTGGGTTCTTTGGAGAGCAATAGGTGTCAGAGGGACACCTCATAAGAGTTATATCTCCTCCTTGTAGCTGGGGCAGTGGTGAGGTTGGGCTTTAGTCTGAGGATAACGCTGGTAACACACCGATTGTATAGTGGTTTCTGATTAGCACTTACCCTGAGCAAGGCTGATTCAGTCTCTCATGCTCTGCAGTGAGGAGAGACAAGATCTGACATCAAAGCAACAGACAATGCGGCTACTCCAACACAAGCCACGAGCACTGCAGCTACTCCAACACCAGCCACAACCACTGCGGTGACACCAACAATGGCAACAGGCACCGTGGCTACTCCAATGGCAAGGACTGTCACTGCAGCTACAACTCCAGCAACATGCAGTGCTGCTATTCCAAACAGGGCAAAAAAAGCAGTGTGGCTACTCCAAACTCAGTGACAAGCAGTGAAGCTTCTCAAACCCAAGCCACAAGAACTGCAGGTACTACAAATACAGTGACAGACACATCGGCCACTCAAACACCGAGGACAGGCACTGTGGCTGGTGCGACCCAATTCAACATGCCCTGCAGTTAATCCAGCCCCAGGCACAAGGACTGCAGTTACTCCACCACCAGTTTTAAGCTCTGCAGCTACTCTATCTCTGGGAAGGAGCAATGGCGCTACTCTAAGGCCTGCTATGTGTACAGTGGCTACGTCAACCCCAGCCACAAACACTGCAGCTACTCCAGTGCAAGCCACAACCACTGCAGCCTCTCCAACGCCAGTGACACACACTGCTGCTTCTGGAGCCCCATCAACAAGCAGTGAGGCTTCTCCAACCCAGGCCCTAAGAACTGTGCCTACTGCAACCATGGCAGCAGGCACATGGGCTACTCCAATGCCAAAGACAGATGCTGTGGCTGCTGCAACTCCAGTGATGGGCACTGCAGGTATTCCAACCACATCAACAAGCAGTGAGGCTTCTCCAGTGCGAGCCACAAGCACTGCGGCTTCTCACTGCCAACCACAAGCCCTGCGGCTACTGCAACCCCGGTGACTGGGACAGTGGCTACTACATGGCAACAATAGGCATAAACACTACAGCTATTCCAGCCACTGCAACAAGCACAGCAGCTGCTGCAGTGCCAGCCACAGCAACGGGGCTACTCAAATGCCTGAGACAGACACTTCCGCTACTGCAACCTCATTGACGAGCAGTGAGGCTTCTCCAAACCAAGCCTCATGCACTGCGGGTACTCAAAGTACCGTGACAGACACATCAGCCACTCGAATGCAAAGGACAGGCACTGTGGCTACTCCAGCCCCATCAAGAAGCACTTTGGACAATCCAACCCCAGGCACAAGCACTGCAGCTGCTCCACCACCAGTTTCCAGGTATGCAGCTCTTCCAACTCTAGGAGGGAGCACTGTCGCTACTCTTAAGGCCTGCAACGTTTGCAGTGGCTAGATCAACCCCAGGCACAAACACTGTGGCTACTGCAAGTCCTACCAGAAGCACTACAGCTACTCCAGTGCCAGGCACGACCACTGCAGCCTCTCCATCACCAGTGACCCATCAACAAGCAGTGAGGCTTCTCCAGTGCGAGCCACAAGCACTGCGGCTTCTCACTGCCATCCACAAGCCCTGCGGCTACTGCAACCCCCGTGACTGGGACAGATGCTACTACATAGCAACAATAGGCATAAACACTGCAGCTATTCCAGCCACTGCAACAAGCACAGCAGCTGCTGCAGTTAATCCAGCCACAGCAACGGGGCTACTCCAATGCCTGAGACAGACACTGCCGCTACTGCAACCTCATTGACGAGCAGTGAGGCTTCTCCAAACCAAGCCACATGCAGTGCGGGTACTCAAAGTACCGTGACAGACACATCAGCCACTCGAATGCAAAGGACAGGCACTGTGGCTACTCCAGCCCCATCAAGAAGCACTTTGGACAATCCAACCCCAGGCACAAGTAGTTCAGTTGCTCCACCAGCAGTTTTCAGGTCTGCAGCTATTCCAACTCTATGAAGGAGCAATGGGGCTACTCTAAGGCCTACAACATAGGCAGTGCCTAGATCAACCCCACCCAGAAGCACTGTGGCTTCTCCAACGCCACTGACAAACACTGCTGCTCCTCCAATGCCATCGACAAGCAGTGAGGCTTCTCCAACCCAGGCCCTAAGAACTGTGCCTACTGCAACCATGGCAGCAGACCCATGGGTTACTCCAATGCCAAGGACAGGTGCTGTGCCTGCTACAACTCCAAAGACAGGCACTGCAGGTATTGCAACCACATCAACAAGCAGTGAGGCTTCTCCAGTGCGAGCCACAAGCACTGCGGCTTCTGATTGCCAGCCACAAGCCCTGCGGCTACTGCAACCCCAGTGACCAGGACAGCGGCTACTACATGGCAACGATAGGCATAAACACTGCAGCTATTCCAGCCACTGCAACAAGCACAGCAGCTACTGCAGTGCCAGGCAGAACAATAAGGCTACTCCAATGCCTGAGACAGACACTGCCACTACTGCAACCTCATCGACGAGCAGTGACGCTTCTCCAAACCAAGCTTCATGCTCTGCGGGTACTCAAAGTGCCGTGACAGACACATCAGCCACTCGAATGCAAAGGACAGGCACTGTGGCTACTCCAGCCCCATCAACAAGCACTTTGGACAATCCAACCCCAGGCACAAGCACTGCAGTTGCTCCACCAGCAGTTTTCAGGTCTGCAGCTATTCCAACTCTAGGAAGGAGCAATGGGGCTACTCTAAGGCCTGCAACATATGCAGTGCCTAGATCAACCCTACCCAGAAGCACTGTGCCTTCTCCAATGCCAGTGACAAACACTGCTGCTCCTCCAACGCCATCGACAAGCAGTGAGGCTTCTCCAACCCAAGCCCTAAGAACTGTGCCTACTGCAACCATGGCAGCAGGCCCATGGGTTACTCTAATGCCAAGGACAGGTGCTGCGGCTGCTACAACTCCAAAGACAGGCACTGCAGGTGTTGCAACCACATCAACAAGCAGTGAGGCTTCTCCAGTGCGAGCCACAAGCACTGCGGCTTCTCATTGCCAGGCACAAGACCTGCAGCTACTGCAATCCCTGTGACTGGGACTGTGGCTACTACATGGCAACAATAGGCATAAACACTGCAGCTATTCCAACCACTGCAACAAGAACAGCAGCTGCTCCAGTGCCAGCCACAGCAACGGGGCTACTCCAATGCCTGAGACAGACACTGCCGCTACTGCAACCTCATTAACGAGCAGTGAGGCTTCTCCAACCCAAGCCCTAAGAACTGTGCCTACTGCAACCATGGCGACAGGCCCATGGGTTACTCCAATGCCAAGGACAGGTGCTGCAGCTACTTCAACTCCAGTGATGGGCGCTGCAGGTATTCCAACCACATCAACAAGCAGTGAGGCTTCTCCAGTGCAAGCCACAAGCACTGCAGCTTCTCATTGCCAGCCACAAGCCCTGTGGCTACTGCAACCCCAGTGACTGGGACAGTGGCTACTACATGGCAACGATAGGCATAAACACTGCAGCTATTCCAACCACTGCAACAAGCACAGCAGCTCCTGCAGTGCCAGCCACAGCAACGGGGCTACTCCAAGGCCTGAGACAGACACTGCCGCTACTGCAACCTCATTGACGAGCAGTGAGGCTTCTCTAAGCCAAACCTCATGCTCTGTGGGTACTCCCCATACCCACAACTGCCCCCCAGGTGACCCTCAAGTAACATCCTAGACCCAAAACTGCTCCCAAGTGACCCCCTAGTGACCCCCAGACCAAAAACAGTTCCCCAAGTGTCCCCCAAATGAAATCCCAGTCCCACAAGTTCCCTCCAAGTGACCCCAAAGACCCAGAGCTGCCCTCCAGTCATCTCCCAGACCTACAACAGCCCCAAAACTGCCCCCAGAGTGACCACTCAGACCCACAACTGCCCCCCAAGTGACCCCCCAGACCCACAACTGCCCTTAAGTGACCCCCCAGACACACAACTGCCCCCAAGTGACACCCCAGACACACACCTGCCCTCCAAGAGAGCTCGCAGACCTACCTCTCCCCCCAAGTGTTCACCCAGTGACCCCCAGAGCCATAACTGCCCCCAAATGATCCCCTCAGCCCTAAAATTGCCCCCCTAGTGGCCTCCCGGACCCACAACTGCCTCCCAAATGCCCCCCCAGTGATTCCCCAAACCTGCCTCCCAAGTGACCCCCAAGTGACTCCCCAGACCCACACCTGCCTCCCAAGTGACCCCCAAGTGACTCCCCAGACCCACAACGTCCCCACAAGAGATCTCCCTGACCTACAACTGTTTCCCAGCTGACACCCCAGTCAGCCCCAGACCCACAACTGCCCCATGTGCTCCCCAAGTGATCCCCAACACCCATAACTGCCCCTCACTGCCCCTCTCCCATCCTGTTCCCATCCCGTTCCCATCCCGCTCCCATCCCAGCTCCATCCCGTTCCCATCCCGCTCCCATCCCGGCTCCATCCCGGTCCCATCCCGGTCCCATCCCGCTCCATCCTGTTCCCATCCCGTTCCCATCCCGTTCCCATCCCGGCTCCATCCCGTTCCCATCCCACTCCCATCCAGCTCCCATCCCGCTTCCATCCCGCTCCCATCCCGTTCCCATCCCGCCGCTTCAACCCGCTCCATCCCGCTCCCATCCCGTTCCAATCCC